CCCCCACTCCCCCACTCCTACTCCTCAGGGTAGAGAGAGAAGACACACTTGGGACACAGTGAAGACAGCAACTTGGAACTGACCACGGCCTGGAGGGGACAGGGAAAATGGAGCCCAAGTAGCCTCTGGCCAGGGACCCAGTGGCCCGAGGACTCTGCCTCCCACCCACTGACTCAGGGCTCGGACTCAGCCTCTATTGTCCGACCACTGGCTTGGGGTCCAGCAGTGAAGGCTGGAGAATGCAGCCTGGATTCCCCTACACACACACACACACACACACACACACACACACACACACACACACACACGGGTGTCTACTGACCTGGAGTGACTGGAATAGCACCTGGGGATAAATGTGACAACTGTGCATTCAATCCTGGGTCAGGGACATTCTAATGGCCAGGAGAGTGACACAGCCAGGACCTTGATGGACAGCCAGAGGGGCCACTTCAGGATGGATGTGGGGAGAGTGGAAGAGGCAGGGAGTAATCCTGAGAGACAGCAGGGAGGAGGCACTTCTTCCCTATGTCCAGGAGAGGGCAATAGAGGGAAGACTGAGGCTGAAGAACTGATGGCTCTGGTCCCAGGACAGACAGACAGACACACACACACACACACACACACATACACATACACACACACCCATCTCTGTAGCAAGCAACCTCCTATGATAGCTGTTCTCCCTGTCATGACGGTATAGCTAACATCCTGTTGTGTGCTAGGAGGGAGCTTAACCTACCTGGGGAAAAATAGCTCCCCAAGAGCTCGCACCAGCACCACTGATGAACCTGCTTCCTCTGAGAGTGAGATGCCCAGGGGGAGGAGCCCTAGGGAATAAGTCAGGGACAGGGACCAGGATGCCACTCTGTCACTGTGTGACCTTCAGCAAGTCACTAACCCTTGGCCTCATTTTTCCTCTCTTGTGAAAAAGGACAATAATTCCTACTTCTCAAGATTGTTTTCAAGATAAAATAATATTAGCATTGTACAATGATGCAAATGCCTCATTACTATTGTTTCTTAAGTTGTTTTCCAGCTCTAATGTTGTTTCCTACATTACTTTTAAGACCTTAGGATTCTATTTCTTAGTTTTGTCCTATCTGTTCCCAGTTGTCATCACTATATGGATGTTGGGGTCCCCCTGATGACAGCCCCTTTGGAAAGGTCCTCTTTTGAGGAGGGGAGGGTACAGGGTGGACTCATCTCAGTGTGAACTTGGCAAGTCACTATCCCTCTCTAATCCTGTTTCCTCATCTGGAACAGGAATGAGAGAGGAGAAAGGAAGAAACCAGTCAGGCAGGCAGTTAGGGTGGGTTCTCGGTTGAATTCTTTTAAACAAAAGAACAGCCTGAAAAATCAAGCTGCAGGCACAGATATGGGAATTTGCACAGGGGGCTTGCCTAAGACATGCCCACAGCCTCACAGATAAGACAGACTACACAGGTGACTTGCCCAAACATGCCCACAATGAAAAATTTCATCCCCTGACATGTGCAATAAGGGGAACAAAGCAATATGGAGTAACTCAAGCTAAGGGCCCACATGCACATTAGAAGGACAGGGTGAAGCTACCATGTGCCTTATGCAAATGAGTCACCCAGTCCTCATCAGTTTCTTATAAAAACCTTTGCATTCAACTGTAAAAATGGCAACCCTCTTTCAGGCCCCCTCTCTACAGCAGAGAGCTTTCTTCTCTCACTCATTAAACTTTCACTCCAACCTCATCCTTGGTGTCCACGCTCCTTAATTTTCATGGTTGTGAGACAAAGAACTCCAGTAATACCTCAAACAACAAGAGATGGCTACATTGTGGTGCATTGGTGAGACTGTAACAGGAGGATGGAGATGAGCTCTGAAGCCTCTTCTCGCTTCCTAGGGTATGTGTGTCAGAGGTGTTTAAACTGGAGTGACTCCATCTTGTATAGAGGCTGGGTAAAATAAGGCTGAGACCTACTGGGCTGCATTCGCAGATGTTAGGCATTCTAAGTCACAGGGCAAGATAGATTGGCACATTATATGCAAATAATAATGCATTAGCATGCTAAGGGACACTCCCACCAGCACCATGACAGCTTACAAATGATATGGCAACATCAGGAAGCTACCTTATATGGTCTGAAAAGAGGAGGAACCCTTAGCTCCAGGAATTGCCCACTCTTTTCCTGGGAAACTCATGAATAATCCACTCCTTGTTTAGCATATAATCAAGAAGTAACAGTAAATATAAGCAGCTAAGCTGCCTATGTTCCTGCTCAATGGAGTAGCCATTCTTTATTCCTTTGCTTTTTTAATAAACTTGCTTTCATTTTACCGTATGGATTTACCCTGAATTCTTTCTTGTGTGAGATCCAAGAACCCTCTCTTGGGGTCTGGATCAGGATCCCTTTCCAGTAATGTGTGCAGAACAGTTGCATGGACACAGCTCAGCATTAAGTGAGGTGGGGCACACTGGGAAAGAACAGGAGCCAGCCCTGGCCTCAATCTGCTCACAGCCTCTGAGGGATGGGAGACACGGCACTGCTGGGTACACCCCAGACCTTACACTGTGTGGTCAGACACTACAGTGCAAGAGATAGGAGGTCCTCAAGTCCGTCCAAGATGGGGGAACTGGGAATCCTGTAGGCTCTGGCCAGCCAGGCAGGCTTCAGGGAGGAGGTGGGGCTCTATCTGAGGCCCAAACCATGGGGCGGAGTCAGGAGGTGAGATCTAGTTGCAGAGACTGCACAGGCCATGGCAGCTGGGAGCCGTGGGGAGGCTTGATGAGAAGGGGCTGTGGAGGGTGGAAGGGGACATGACCATACACCAGGTGGTTGCTGGACCCAAGAAGAGGCCTTTAGCTGTGTCCTGCAGTAGGGCACAGTAGCTGTGAGGGTGACCAACTGTCCCTGTTTGCCCCTAAGGGGTTCCTGGAACCAAGTGAACCAGCACAATTTGCTCACCCTAGGAGCCTGCTCCTGTAAGAACTTCCATGGTAAGGACACAGGGGGCTGAGAAGCTATAGACCAAGCCTCATATCCCCAGCCCCAACTGGACACTTTCCTAAACACGCCAGCCTTTCACTTCCTCCCTCCTCTCTCAACCTTCTTCTTGAAGCTCCGGGGACCCAGATCCACAGCAGATCCACGGCAGGAAGATGCAGGGCAGGTGGGGCATCGGACAGGCTGCTCGCTTTAGCAGGTGAGACAACAAAGCTTCCTGAGCAACAGGCTGTGGACACAGAACACACACCTGGGAAGGGCTGATCATCATGGCCAATGGAAGAACAAATAAAGTAAATCCAGCACCTCCTGGATGTAGACATGCCTGCATGGAGTCCAGCAAGCAGGCATTAGGTTTACAGTTCTCTTCAATGGCTGCAACGTGCCTTCACTCTGGATCAAATCGAGAGAGTGGATGCCGTGCTGCCGGCTCCTCATGCAGGACATTAAGATGGTGAGGGCAGGTCTCCTCTGCCAGCTCTGTTGGAGTCTTCCTCAGCTGCAGAGAGCCGCCTTGCCAAGGCCAGATTCCCCTCCCAGGACACCCCACCTCCCCTGACTGATTGACAAGTCCTCAAGGGCCATCCTATCTTCGGAACTCCTCCCGGGATACCCTGAGTCTCCTTATGGCCTCTATTGCAACCTGACTTCTCGTTCTGCCTGTGAAAGGAAAATAAATCTCAGAACCCCCAAATCACTAAGCCAGGGGAAAAGTCAAGCTGGGAACCACAGCAGGCAAACTGGCCTCCCATGTTATTCCTAAATAAGATAACTACAAAGATTTAAAAACTATGTACCTCCCTCACAATTTGCCCACAAGACAATTATTTGTGGGCCTCAAGATCTTGGGCCTAAAACAGTTCTGTTGATTTTCACCCTGACAGTGTAAACTGTTAGCTGATCTCCACAGGTGTAGGACAGAAAGTCATCCCTCTGCTCACCTGGGATGAATGCATATCTGATTGCTTCTCTGCCCTATTGTTTATGTAAAAATGCAGATTCACTGAGCCAGAGTAAATTGTGTATTCAGTGAAAAACTGATAGAGGACTCAAAAGAATGCAACCTTTTGTCTGTTATCTATCTATGACTTGGAAGCCACCTTTCCCACTGCCCCGTCCACACCCACCCTGGACCAAATGTACATTGGTCCAGATCGAGCCAATGTACATCTTACATATATTGATTGATGTCTCATGTCTCCCTAACATGTATAAAAACAAGCTGTGCCCCAACCACCTTGGGCACATGTCATCAGGGCTCCTGAGGCTCTTGTGGGCCTGTCCTTAACCTTGGCAAAGTAGACTTTCTGAATTGACTGAGGCCTGCTTCCTGCTCTTCTCCTCCCCAGACGTTGGTCCCAGAGCGCTTTAAATCTCCAGTGCTAATCTGCACCTGACGCTGTGCCCAGGAACCCAACCTGCAGCACCACAGTTTTACAGTTTTTCTTTTCTTTGTTGTTTGTTAACTGTCAATAGCCTGTGAAAATTGATTTTCTATAGTTCATATAAGGACAATTTTTTAAAAATGTGTTTGATTAGTGTCATCTTTCATCAAACGCTCTGGAGTGATTATGGCAGCTCAGAGCTGGGGAAGGAGATGATCTGGGGGCTGAGATACCCTTTCCCCTCCTCCTCCCATCCCCATCTTCCCCTCCCAAGGCTTTACTCTCTCCCACCTTTGCCATAGACACCCCCTGCATCTCCATTCCTGGAAGTAAATCTCCATCTCTTTTCTCCTCTTCCCCTCCTGTCCCCATGGAACTCCCCAGCTCCCAGGCAGGCCTGGGCATGAAGTCTCTGAACCCTGGGAGCCGGGGGTCTTCAGGTTCTGGTCAGACCTCCAAAAGGCCCCCAACACTGTCACTCACCTTCAGCCTGTGCGTTAGCTGGGTGAGGAAGAGAAACTTCAGGCTGGGGAGGAAGTGGTAGAACAGAGGGGAGAGAGGAGAAAGAGCTTTTTATTTCATCATAGTTTCTTCCTGGACTTTCCCAGCTTTCCCCACCCACAGCCCCAGTGGGAGGGAGGTGGCCTGACAAGCGGGAAGAGGCTGGGGCCAGAGGAGCCCAGCAGGAGCTACAGAGTACAGGCTGAGGCTTTTCCAGGCCCGGATGTAGACCCTGCAGCTGGAGGGGGTCATATAGGCCAAGGCGTCCCGCTTCCTCACAGGCCTCCTGCTTCCTCAAGGGAGGCTTTGCCTTCCTCAGCAATTCATCCCCAGGGCCAGATCCTGCCAGCCCTGGTTCCCGCTTCCCAGGGGTTCCCCGTTCCCTCACTTTCCTCCCACCATCCCGGCTCAAGAAGAGGACCCATGACCTTGGAGGCCACACACCCGCTGTTGAGAGTCCTGCTGGTACTCCTGGCCTCAGGTGAGGGGAAGGGGAGCAGGGCCAAGGGAGGGGGACAGCAACCTTTGTCTTACAGGGTTGTTGTGAATATTCAAGGAGAATACAGACTTGAAGGGCCCAGTCCAGTGCATAGAATATGACCAGGGCTGTTTCTTTCACCTCTGTCCCCCTTCCAGCCCTTGACCGTGTACCTGTAAGAGCAGGAGAGCTATCCCAGAGTACTGTGGGTCTAGGGAAAGGGCACACTCTGTAGTTACCACAACCTGTGGCCTGCTTTGTTTTCTACCTCTGCCTGATGGTTTCCAGGCCCCAGCCACGGGCACTGACAGTGTCTTCCTGCGTCCCGTCCCTTCTTTCCATCCACCATCGCTGCAGACGATGAATGCTGGGCTCTTGCAAACCATACTTTCTTGCATCAAGAGATTAAACCAGAAACCAAGGGGTGCTGATCACCTGAGCTGAGAGATGTCCCTGAACTGCTTGTCCTTCCCCTTTGACATTTGACACCCCAGACATCTTCCCTAAAAGCCTGCTCTGGTATAAAACAGTCTACCTTTGTGTTCTTCCTTTGACTTAAAATGGGACCTATTAAAATATATTTTTTAACTGGGAGAGTCATTTGTCAATGACATACATCAGTATACTCTGAGAGCTCACTGCGTCTCCTAGAGAAGGGTTGAGCTTAAGGACCTGAGACAGAACTGTTAAGGGAAGGGCACCAGGAGAGCTGGGTGGAGACCCTGCAATAGGGGACCAGATGGAAAGTCAAGGGATAACAGTTGCAAAAGGGAAAGAGATAAGGACTTGAGATAGCACCAACATTCCAGTTTTACAGAGAAAGAAACCGACGCTGAGGTGGAATGACTTGCCCTAGACAACACGGCTTGTGGAGCAGAGCCCCGACCACATGGCTGCCTACTGGTCAGCTGAGCCGAAGGGGACCTCAGGACAGGCTGGAAGCTGGGGAGGGCCTGTGGAGACAACAGGCATGACGGGAGGGATGATTTTCAGGGCAGGAGGTTGGTCTGGGCTCTGACTTTCCTCACCAGGTGGGTCCTTATTCCAAATCCCCCCAGTCAAGTCCATCATCCTGGGTGTGGCAGTGGCCGTTGTGCTGCTGCTGCTGCTGCTCGTCCTCCTCAGCAGCCAGTACCTCCAGAAAGCCCGAGGAAGAGCTAGGAAAGGTGAATCCTGGTCACTGGCTCTGAGCAGACAGCCAAGTGCTTAGCCTTTTCTAAGGCAGCCTGAGAGCCATGAGGACAAGGATTCTTACGCTCATTTTACCAACCAGGAAACTGGGGCCTGAGAGGTAAAGTGGCCAACATCCCCTCGGAGCCCCAAATGGCTTTCCTCCTTTCTGCCAGAGCAACAGCCTGGGCAGCCCTGAGGGTGGTGGACCCGTCATCTTCTAAGGCTCCAGGTCAGCTCACCCAAAGTCAATTCAACTCAGTGCCAATTTGTCTACAACTAGGTGTGCTAGTATCCATTTTGGATCATGTCTTATTGCCATCTTTTAGGTTAAGACTTTTAAAACAAACAAACAAAAAAACCTGCAGCATCTTGTGTAAGATTTATCAGATTAGTCCCCTTTAATGAATGTTACCTCCTTTCTTGCTGTTTTATGTTGGTTGGTTTGTTTGACATATAGGTGCCGTGAGCTTAATAACCCTATACACTGCAGATGTTTCTGTTGACAAGATTGAAACATGGGAGTGGGCCAGAATTATATTGGACTTCATTGGTTTTAATTATTCAAGCTATGAAAATGCAAAGAAATCAGTGGGTTGTAAAATTTTATATATATTTTTTTAATCAGTGTAAACTCAATTTAATGGATCACAATAGGATTTTTATAAAAACATAATAGAAGAGCATAATGTCATAATGCTTTACCCATTTTTTTGTTAAACTTTTGTTTTAGGAGTGTGTGTGAATATGTGTCTGGGTGTGAGAGTGTATGAGTGTGTTTGCGTACGTGGTAGCAGGTAAATTGTGAATCACATTGGAGTTCCTGGTTCAAAAAATTGGAAAGACAGTACTACATATAATTTCATCAGCAAATAGATTATACTCAGGTCTAATTTTAAATTTGGAATTTTCAGTGATCTAGAACTGATAATTAAGTTTATGGATTTTATGCACATTAACCACAGACAGCCAGTTTGTTTTGCTCCTTCGTATCCCTGGACACCACTCTTGCTGGGTGCTGGGGACCTCCCCAGGCAGAATATGGCCACTGATCCAGCCCTGGCCTTTTTCCCATCAATGTCCTTTCTGCCCAGCTAGGACCCCAATATCTCCCTCATGTTTCCATAGGAGTTGGGTTGGGAGAGATTCCCTGCTTAACCTTGACTGTCTTCTTTGCAGGCAAGGGTGAATCCTACCATGTTTATGATGACGTCCAAAAGGAGAAAACCACTGTGAGTAAGAATGACCTTTCCCTGGGACAGCAGTACCACAGCTTTCCTGTGCAACTTTATTCCTGTCTTTTTAAATTTCCTGGCTTATACTTACTCATAGTACCTATTTCCTCTAAACCTTGACTCGCACTGGCGACTACTCATTCTCCTGCTGCCTCGTGCATGGCTTATCTACGTGTTTCCTTTCTCTATGTTTCCCCATTCAAATTTCCTAGAGAAAAAGAGAAGTTGGCTAAACTAGCTTTGCCATTCACCCCTGTGGGAGGCAGCTTTTCATGTCTCACATGTCATGAACCAGCTTGTGGATTGGCTGCCATTGGTCCAGTCAGCTGTGGGGAAGGGTGTTACATGGCAGACAACATGGCTCCCCTAGGATGCTCTCCTAGTGGGTGCTAGAGACTGGGCAGTTTCCCTTGGGTAAGTCTGTCTTGTCTAAAGATCTGAGACTCTTGGAATCACAGAATTGCAGAATTCAAACGATCTAAAGTCATCTTGATCAACCCTCTGTATAACATTGGAATCAGCTCTACAAATAACACCCCTACCAAGTGCTCATTTAGCTCAGTGCTACTCAAACTTGAGTGTGCATAAAAACCATTTGAAGAGCTTGTTAAAACAGTTTCCTGGGCCTCACCTAAGACACTGTGCCTTAATACATCTAGCGTGGAGCCTGATGATGCACTTTTAACAAGCTCTGAGGTGATCTGGTGCTACTGGCCTGGGAACTGAAGGAAGAATTCACTGGACAGTGAGCACTTATCAAGTACTCACATGCTATAGAGCTGCTTTACCAGTGATGGATGACCTCCATGTGGCAAAGACAGCTACCAACCAGCAGGGGCCACCTCCTCCTTAAAGGGATATGAGGAAGGAGGAGCAAAGCAAAGTCAAGTACTTATCAACTAGAGGGCAGAAGGTTTGAGTCTGAGGCCTGTGATAAGATCATGGAGGAAATTTCTGGACACTTGCCCCCCCTGTTCCCCAGGGCCTACTAGGACAGAGTCCAGGTAGATAGGGTCTGGGACCCAGTGCCTCTGAGTAACCCAATTCTCGCCTCCTTCTGGCCATCACTTCCTTTCTGACCAAGGGCTATGAAATCCTGACAGATTGTGCAAGTATTTTATTGGTGCCTATGTCCTTGAGAGACCCCTCCCTTAACTGTCCTCTCAGGACCTCTAAGCCAGGTTGAGGAGTTCTGCCCCTGCCCTAACCCCCAGGCCAGATCCCTCTTCTCTTCACTGTCCTCCTGATTCAAAATCTCCTCCTACTCATGAGATTCTTATGACCTTGCCAGAAGGAATGCCAGGATGTGGGTAGTGCCTACTGCTCAGGAGTCTCCCTGGCCCTAGCCCTTGCCCTGTTTTTGCCAGGCAGCGTGTGGCGAGGGACCTTCCTTCCCTGTGGCCATCCACACAGTTCCATTAAAACTGATTTGGGCTCCCCTGCCTTGCGCAGGATCATTATCCAGTCTGCTAGCTGCATCTTACTCAAACAGAGTGGGCTGGGGGCTGCCTCCTGCTTGGCCCATGTATGTTCCAAAGGGCCCTTCTGGAGACAGGGGTCCCCTTTTTATTGTGTATCCCCAAGAAGTGACTTTGAACTCTGGGAACTTCAGGCCAAGTGACCAGAAGTGGTGTCCTGCTACATCAACGGGAAGATTGCTTGGAGTTGCAGATTCATGACTTCCCAATGGTGACCTTAAAGGTCCCTGATTCTAGCTTCTAATGGGACACCAAAACCCTCTCTACAAACCTCAGTAAGGAGTCATGAGGTCTCTGCCTCCATCTGTCAAAGGGCAGGGAGCTCGCCATCTCCTCCTCAGGCAGCTGGCTTGTGAATGCTTTTGTCAAATAGGACTTGGCTTGTCCTCAGCCACAGTGAGACATCAGCCTTGTCCACAGGATGAGACAGAGATCGGCTACATTGTGGCCAGAAAGAGATGGGGATGGAGAGGAGAAGGTGGGAGGTTTGAGGCCTGAAGGGCCAGGCTGTGAGGATGAGGTCTTCCTCTGGGAGGAAGCTAGGTAAGCTCCTACTACTTCTGACTGTGACTGCTCTGCTGCCATCATCCACCTTCTAGGGTCCCAGTGTCAAGGATGTGGTTCTGTCCTCAGCCTGTGGCTCCATGGGGACACAAACCATGCAGGCCTATAGGGCCAGACACTCAGGCTAAGGGAGATGGGGAACAAGAGGGACTGGGGTGTTCTGGGTGTCACCCTGACTCCTGAGGTTCCAGTCCTGCCCTGCCTGCCCTAGTCTCCTCCTGCAAGCTGGATCTGACTGCTGAAGGCTAGGCAATTGCCGCACCGTGCCTTTCCACCTGACCTAGCTCTGTTTTGAGAAGGTCACTGGCATTGAACCGTGGCCTCATTTGACCCTCTGGTCCTTCATAGTTATAGGCTCTTGACAGTGCCTTCGTGCTTGGTGTATATTTTAGACTACATGCCCACTGGGAGAGCCCATCTCCACCAAATGATCCCTCACTTGGGTTTCCTGTCTGCATGGGTCTGGCTGCAGCACCAGGAGCCACCCTCACGAACTGTCAAAACCCAAAGAATTTACCCAGACCTAGAACTCCAACGTTATTTATTTTTTATTTTTTGAAACACAGTCATTCTGTCACCCAGGTTGGAGTACAGTGGCATGATCTTGGCTCCCTGTAACCTCCGCCTTACCTTCCAGGTTCAAGCCATTCTCCTGCCTCAGCCTCCCAAGTAGCTGGGACTACAAGTGTGCACCGCCAATCCTGGCTAATTTTTGTATTTTTAGTAGAGATGGGGTTTCACCATGTTGGCCAGGTTGGTCTTGAACTCCTGGCTTCATGTGATCCTCCCGCCTCAGCCTCCCAAAGTGCTGGGATTACAGGGGTGAGCCACCACCCTGGCCAACTCCAACAGTTTTGACTGATCTGTATAAATTACACAAGCATTTAGGGGTGGCTACTGACTGTCAGGCACTGTGCTCAGGGTTGAGGATACGGAGATTAATTCTAGTAAGACAGCATTTATGGAGTGCTTATGATGTGCCAGATTAGTTTTCATGGATTAATGGCTCGAACATCCCTGTAAAGTATTTTACATATATAGATATTGTGGCACAGAGAGGTTAATTCCCTGAATTCACATAGTTAGTAAATGACGAATTCTAAACTCTGAAGTTTTAACCACTATGCTTCTGGGTCCCTGTTCTCTTAAAGATTTCGTGTGTGTGTGTGTGTGTATGTGTGTGTGTGTATGTGTGTGTGTTGGGGAGATGCATGGAAAAACAATGACAATATAAAGCACTTATGGCTACAGCTAGAGGAATGTTGAAGGTGCCAGAGGAGGATGGAGAGGATGGAGGAAGCATGACCTTTCCTGACACAAGCCTCCAGAAGGCAAGAGGGGAGAGCAGGGGTGCAGCTGACTCAGCTGGGGAGTTCAAGGGATGAGATTCCCAATTAACCAGTGGCCCCAGACAGGAGGATGTGGGTTCCTCCTCCCCACCCTGCCCCAGGGAAAGAGCTACTCCTGCTACCATCAAAGGCCCGAAGGCACCTTTCCAAAGCTGTGACCTCAGGAATGTACACCTTTTCCTTATCTCAGTATTGGGACATCCTTGTCTACCTCAGGCCCCACAGGAGGGAGATGTGAGGAGAACCAGGACAGGATGGAGAGGGAGAGCTGGCCCTTGACCTTTGGAGTCCCCAGGAGGCTTCAGGCCTATTGTGCATGGCTGATTGTGTAAGCAGCCTTCTTCTGCCTGCGGGTCGTTCTTCAGGCCACACAGTGGGCCCTCCCTGCACTTCATCTGCCTATGCTCTTGACGCATATGACACAATAAGAAAAGATTTTATTCACCAACCTGCGTATTTGACCTTTGGGTGGTTGTTTCAAACTACTGTTTTAAGATAGCTCATTATGCAGCGACAAACAATCAAAATAAATAGCCAAGACAAATGTGAAGAACAAGGCTATAGGGAAAGGAGATGGCTTTACCCCACCAGAAACCAAAACTTACTACGAAATCATAGTAATTACCATGCAATCCTGGAATAGAAAACTGGCAAAGGCAACAGAATCAAGAAGCGAGGAACAGATCCATGTATATGGCAACTAGATATTTGACAGAGCAGGCATTATGAATCAGGTGGAAAGAAGAGAATATTTAATGCTGCTGATACAACAGTCTAGCCATGTGGGGAAAAACATAAAATTAGATTCCTACCTTATGTCTTATGCAAAAATAAATTCCAGGTGGGTTATCAACCTAAATGTGAATAGCCCAACAATAAAATGTTTAGACAAAAAATATGAGTTGTTTATGACTTCAGGGACCAGAATGATTTTTTTTTTCTTTCTTTTTTTTTTTTTTTTTTAAGACGGAGTCTCACTCTGTTGCCCAGGCTGGAGTGCAGTGGCCAGATCTTGGCTCACTGCAAGCTCCGCCTCCTGGGTTTATGCCATTCTCCTGCCTCAGCCTCCCCAGTAGCTGGGACTACAGGCGCCCACCACCACGCCCGGCTAGTTTTTTTGTATTTTTTAGTAGAGACGGGGTTTCACCGTGTTAGCCAGGATGGTCTTGATCTCCTGACCTTATGATCCGCCTGCCTCGGCCTCCCAAAGTGCTGGGATTACAGGCTTGAGCCACTGTGCCCGGCCCAGAATGATTTCTTAAGCAAGATCAGGAGCAATAGTACTCACCTGTAATCCCAACACTTTGGGAGGCTGAAGCCGGTGGATCACTTGAGGCCAGAAGTTTGAGACCAGCCTGGACAACATGGCAAAACCTCATCTCTACTAAAAATACAAAAATTAGCTGGGCATGGTGGTGTGTGCCTGTAATTCCAGCTACTTGTGAGGCTGATGCATGAGAATCACTTGAACTTGGGAGGTAGAGGTTGCAGTGAGCCGAGATTACACCACTGCACTCCAGCCTGGGTGAAAAAACACAAACCATAAAGGGTAAAATGATATGACATATCTGGCTATATTAAAATTGAAAACTTTGGTCCAAAGAAG